GAAATAAATTTGCATTTTGGTTTGCGGGCAGAGATGATCGGAATTTCACAAGATTTTTGACAGAGTTGCTCAAGTTTTGCGGGTTACTCAGTTGGATGAGTCCAGTAGAAGTACTTCCTGTCAGGGTCAAACCAGCTGGAGAGTTCAATCTCCGAAGCATCCTTCCATGTGTAAGAGATGATGATAGAGCAGTGTTTGCCAACCTTACGGACCCGGCCAAGGAGTGTAAATCTCCAAATCCTTCAAGTGCCCCTGTGCGCATGTAAGAGGTATCTTTACCCCCTATAGCAGGGACCATGCTAGCTTTTTTCAGGTAACCTCTAAATTTCTGCAACATAACACGGAAATGGTGAGACAAAAATTTCATGAGAAATAGCATTCTTAGAGTAACCACTTGCCACTTATTGCCTAAGCAGGTTGGATGAATTCCGAACAGGCAATGTATGAATTTGTGCTCATTGGACACTTGTCTACTGCATATTCCTCATAATATCAGCCATAACGACTCCGAAATAGTGGACTTACTTTTTCACTCAAACACCAGGTGGTTAAATTCTCCATTATTGAAAACAAAAGTTTATGGTCCAAATCAGCTTCCTCTAGGGAAATTCAACAATATTTAGGACAAACAAACATCACTTTGAAGCCAGAGTTCCTGGATGAACATTTCCAAAAAAATTTGCAGTGCTTTTATGGCCATACGAGCGTCATGGTCATCACATATACAAATCCCATCACCATATTCAATCCTTTCCCTGGTTGAAAACATTTTCAAGATCTTGATGCGTTTAAGTGACGATGATAGTAAATAGAAGATATGTAGGAAAAATCTGTACCTGGAGATGGCTTGCAACATTTTCCCTTGTCAGTCCTTCAACGTTCATGAGGTCAAGAATTTTCTTAGGAAAAGCCTCTGCATAAGAAAGAAGAGTTAACAAAAATGAACTAAAAGAACAAGGGAAGAAAAAAAGGCGTTCAGGCAAAGGTAACAAAAGAAAGGACTCACTGTCAACGCCTAATTGATGCACAGCAGCAACAAACTTTTTATGCAGCTCTGGAGACCAAACCACCCGAGGCTTTTTCTGGGTCGATGGATCTTCATTTTCACGTCCTTTCTCCTCACCCTCTTCTTCCTCATCTTTGTTTTGGTCCTTGCGCTTCCTATTGAATTTAACATTCTGATCCTCATTACCTGTTGCAGCCACCCCTTTTCCGCCTTCTCCATTCTCACGGCAGGCCTTGTCGTGATTGGGAGACTTACTTTGATCCTTTGTGTCCAACTTCCTTCGGCGGATAACATGTTGCCAGATGTTTTTAAGCTCTTCAATTCGAACGGGTTTCAACAAATAGTCGCAAGCACCATGAGTAACTCCCTTCATCACAAGCTTGGTATCACTATGGGCTGATAACACTAGAAACACATTAGAACACAAACGTCAGTTAAAATTCGTATATCTCCTACTTCAAAAACTAACCATTCTCTACCGTCCAAACCAAATAGTAATCTCCAATAGGAGGCCATATAAAAGTCCTGAATTTTATCTATGAAATGAAATAAACACACTAGCAGTATTCACTAAACTACCACAAGAAAACCAAATGAGTTATTTAATCAAAAGAAAACAAAATGGAGGAGATGATGTGTGTTATGCATGTTTGTGCCTGAAAAGAATATAAACAAAAAGAAATAAAAGGAAAAGAAAAAGAAAGGACTCATGCTCACTAATGACAGGTAGCTCCATATCAAGCCCCACAAGCTCAAGGAGCTTAAATCCATCCATGTCCGGCATATTAACATCACTGATCACAAGGTCAAACTTGTTCCTGTTTTCCACCAACATTTTTAGTGCCTTGACAGCCTGATTAGTCGTGGTAACTGCAAGAACCCAGAAATCATATATTTAAAAAAAAAATTGAAAACTTGTGAAAAGTCAAAAACCAAATAGATCAATCAAAGTCACAGATTATTTTCACATGTACCCTGAAGTCAGAACACCATAGCACAAATTCATGAAAAAGTAGCTAGAAAGACCAAAAACAATTCAGAAAAAACAAACTAGCATAACCTTCAAAGGCTGATTTTTGAAACGCATGTCTAAAAAAATCCAACAAAGCATGAAATTATTTATTTCACAAAACATTAATGAAATTAAGACACCAAAGGCACAACTTATAATAAGCTTATCAACAAGCCTAAAAAAGAAGACCATTACAAAGAAAATTTACACAACATAAACTCGTTAGAGAAAACTAAACACTAAAATGATTTCCAATTCAAAAAAATTGAAAAGATAGAGAATTGAAACAAACCCTGATACTGGCATTTACGAAGAAGATTCTCCAACACTTTGAGGCAAATTGGGTCGTCGTCAACGGCAAGAACTCGCATGCCAACAGGAAAACGGTCCAACGAAACATATTTGCCACCATCACTACCCCTTTGGTCCTCCACAGTCATTATGAAACGACCAAAACTTCAGACTTAGACAAGAAACAAGGCACTGAAAAAGAAAACGGATATGAACAAGAGAAAAGAAGAAAAAAGTTTCAATTTTTTTTAAGAGTGAAACTTGGGTTCTCTGAGGCTT